TAACACACTAGCTGTCTCTCACCAAGGCTGTGTGATCCAACAATGGAAATACATTCACAATCATTCATTCAATACAGTGGAACCTCTACTTATGAGTTTAATCCATTCCATGACCTTGCTCGCAACTGGATTTGCTTGTTTGCAGAGTCAATTTTCCTCATTTAAATTAATTGAAATGGAATTAATTTGTTCTAGTGGAATTCCAGGCACGAGAAAATACTTTAATAATTTCCCTAATATCAACTCTACAGCTTATTTATCTATCACAATTCATGTAATATGACATAATAAACAATATTAATAATACAAAAACATGATATATACACTAGAATGAATAAAATACACATCAATAGGTAAGTGGCTAGTGGTGGTGACAGCAGCCATTGTTGTTGTTTACAGGGCCACCACAGTGGCCATTCCTGCTCCTGACTACATGTGTAGAGAACCTAGAATAACCCAAAAAAGTCAGACTTATAAGTACTACACTCTTAATGCTTCACTTAATTGCTACACTCTTGATGCTACACTTAATTGCTACACTCTTAATGCTACACTTTGCCACTGCTGCTTCATGTTGTCTGCCACTGCTACCTCATGATGTCTGCCACTGCTGCTTCATGTTGTCTGCCACTGCTACCTCATGATGTCTGCCACTGTTGCTTCATGTTGTCTACCACTGCTACCTCATGGTGTCTACCACTGATGTCGCCAAAGAATCGAACATTTCTGCTATTTTGAGCTCAATTTCAAGGTACTTTTCATCGTGAAACCAATTAAAATCATATTTATTTTTGTAGTATATCTTCCATTCTATTACAAGAGACCAAATAAAACGAGAATACAACCATAAAAACCATACGAAAATATAGCGCTAAGGGGAGGCTAATGGCTGAGAAGTGAACTTCGTTATTTACGGTCCGATTTCTTTCATTTTTGGTGTACATTAACCCCTTGACTGTCGCAACCCCCAATCCTGAAGTGTCTCCTGGTGTCGCAAAATTTAAAAAAAAAAAAAAAATATTTTTTCTTATGAAATGATAGAGAATCTTTTCCTGATTGTAATGACACCAAAAACATGAAATTTGATGGAAAACTGACGGAATTACGCTCTCGCGAAGTTAGCGACCTCGGCAATATTTACAAATTGGAGATTTTGCCCACTTTGAGCCCTATTTTCGGCTAATTCCATTGTTCCAGTCATCCAAACTCATAGCTATTTCTTCAGAACTCCATTTTTTCTATCGATTGAGTGCAAGAAATTGCCCATTTACTGATTTCAACTACCCAATAACGTGGTCAGAAATTTGCAATTTGGCCAATTTCACAAAAATTAAAAAATATGACAATTTCAAAATAAGGTTCAGAATGAACAATGCAGACATTCCTGGCTCTAAAATAACATTTTCTTTGTTCATCAGTCACGTCTCCAAGCCCCCTCTGATATTACTCTTGCTTTCTATTTTGAATTTTTATTCAAACAAAAAATAGACAATTTACTGTTATGCAGACTACTGCAATGCTGTAATAATTGTATAAATAACATCAACCCATTCATGACTGCATATTAGAATGGCTAGTTGGATATTTATTGGACAATGACATCATTTGTTTACTTTTGAACATGGGCAAAAATCAAACATTTCCCCTACTTTGAGCTCCATTTCCAGGTTCTTTTTATAGTAAAATCAATCAAAATCACCTCTATTTCTATAATATGTTTTCCATTCTATCAAATGAGACCAAAAATACAACCATAAATACTATACGAAAATAGACCACAAAGTCGGCATTTTAATTAAAAAAATGGTCAGAGTTTTTTTTTCTCATTATACACTGCATGCTCCAGGATTTTTTTTATATGGTGCACACTGGCCACACAGACCCATTCTCTCACATGTGGGACTACCAGCTTTCTCCTGCTTGATTTGAAGCCGCTAGAATTTATGAGTATATATACGTCAAACATGGTACCTCGTAAGACGTATATATACGACCTCGACAGTCAAAGGGTTAAGAAGCATCTTTTCATCACACACTGCCCAAGTTTCAATAAGATAGTCCAACAAATAACTGAGATCCAATTCCCTAGATCAAGAGCAAGAGCCCTCTCACCAGTGTCAATTAACCTCCCTTGAGGCCTGCTCGCATCTGGAAATTTTACTGCAAAAAATCAACTGAGCAGCTGCTCATATCTGGAAAAACTCGCACGTGGATGCACTCGTAAGTAGAGGTTCCACTGTACCAGTCTTGTCAGACATTCACAAATATCATAATTCAAATGCCCTCCTTCAAAGAGCAGACACTGTACTTTCCATCTCCAAGAATCAGATCCAGCTAACTGGTTTCTCTGAATCCCTTCACAAATGTTACCTTGTGTACACTTCAACAGCATGTTAAACAATACAAACCACTCCTAAACTAACATGCACACACAAGCCTGGATACTCAAGCCCCTAGCACACAAAACCTCCTTTAGGGGGGAGTGAGGGATTATATTTTTTTTTTTTTTGTTTTCAACCGATTTATTTTATTTTTGGTGTACTTTTAGAGGTGCATATATAGTTTAATGTGACAAAGTTTCAGTATGATTGGCCAACAAACAACATAGAAAAAAAATATTAACATAATTTTGATATATGGCAGCATCCCCTGACAAATTGGCACTACGAGTGGCACTTCCGACATTCCCAACTGTTAGAATACAACTAGCACGAATCTTTTACGTTGCCATTTCATCTAATATATCTTATTATCATGGTAAAAAAAAAATACATTTGACAGAATTTTTGGCATTCACCAAAATATCTGCCTTTTACCCCCCACAAAATCAAAAATATTTGAGATATTCCAAAAAATCCATCGTTAAAAATTAAAACACACTTTGTTTTATATTGTCTGTGAAAATCATTTCAATACAATCATTAATAATGGTTGAGGTCCGTGAAATAAGTGAATAAGTTACTTCCGAGATATAGGCCTAGAACGCCGGTAGGCCTACTGTCAAAAAAAAAATTTTCTTTTTTCGCGAAAATCGCGTTTGTTTCGGTGTATTTCTTAGTAAACTGATGTTCTAGTGCAGTTATCCTCTTCAAAACATCGTTTTCTCTCACTCACAGACCAAACAATACAACATGGAGACGAGGAGTAACTTTTTATATCGAAATATTGCTGGTGGACTCTCGCTATATTATGGCCTATTTTATTCAGTCTAGAGTATATAACATGTTTGTTTGTTATTTACAGTGATTATTATATCATATTAGATCAATTCTGATAGATAAATAAGCCGTATAGTTAATATATAAGCTGATATAAGCGTAATAATGAAGTGATTTCACCTGGCACTCTCTGGAGAGGGATCACTGCCGAGTGTACCTAGGTGCTTCCCGATAGGCTAGATGTCTATTGATAAGCTCCAACTACTCTTATATGATGCCAAAATAATCAATTATTATATTAGAAAGAATAATGCAAAGAAAAAGCAATAAAAAACAAGGAAAAAATTCCAAAAAATACATAGGTTGAGAACAGACGCGCTACCTACATCGCCGCCACCATACCTGATATAAATGACTATAATTTCTTGTAGAAACGTTGTAGAACATTGATTCTTGTACCATTGTGTTGCCAAAGAGTTAAGCTATTTTTCTATATGAATAACTCATTTTCATAAATTTTCGAATTTTTCTTGAGAGCGCTTGAGAGCACTCCCCCCTATTTACCTTTCTCCAGCACCTACCCCTCCTTCCCTCCAACTCAGATTCATGCACCTTCCTGTTCATCCTATTCAGCTCCATCCTTTCTAAATACTCAACCACCTCAACAACTCTTCTGCCTTCTAAAACATACTTTTGGTAACCCACATCACCTTAAGAAGGAATAAAAAGGCACAATACTGTAGTGGAACAACACACAAATAACCCCACATAGGAGATTGAAACTTAGAACGATGCTTCAGTCCGACTTGGGCCATTAACTAACATGAAGGAAAGGGAGCCAGAATATAAAAGAGAGGGAGGTGGGAGATGAAAGAGGTAGAACAGGAAGACAGTGTTAGAGAAGAAATTACCTAATTTTAATCCTCTGAATTCTTTGTGTAATATTCAAACCAAACAGTGCTCTCAAAGATGACATTTCAACTGCCTCCAGTCTCCTCCTCTTTGTTGCCTCACACCCATATAAAAATACAGGTATCACTATACTTTGGTATATTCCCTTTCTGGCCTCTAGAGATAACACACCCATATAAAAATACAGGTATCACTATACTTTGGTATATTCCCTTTCTGGCCTCCAGAGATAACACACCCATATAAAAATACAGGTATCACTATACTTTGGTATATTCCCTTTCTGGCCTCTAGAGATAAACTTTTTCCTTACCACAGATGCCTCAACATATCACCTACCTTTCCCTTGTGTGTTCTATGATACACCTTGTCTTTCACAGACCCATCTGCCAACACATCCACTCCCAAATATTTTAATACATTTGCTTCCTTCACACTCTCTCCCTCCAGTTTGAAATTGAATCTTTCATTATCTGAACTTTATTGCTGCTCTCATCATCTTGCTCTTTTTTATGTTCACTTTTAATTTCTGTCTATTACATACCCTACCAAAAATCTTCCACCAACCTTTGTCATTAAAGGCATTATCAATAGAAAGACACTTATTTCAAATTCATAAATGGTGTGGTATGCCATAAAATATTCCAAAAATCCTAATTATACAAAATATGTTAAATAGGAGCATGGGCATGGGGCTAGTAATCCCTTCTCATGTACAAATTACTAAATGTAAAAACTTTATGAATGAATGTTTTCTTTTCCAGGTAACCCTGCCTTGGTGGGGGACAGCCAATGTGTTAAAAGAAAAAAGAAAATGTTAAATACTATGTAGATTTCAATAATCTTCAGTGCCATATTTTTTTTTTAATTTTTCAAAATATTTTGTGGAATTTTCCATAATGTATGTGAATCATTGCATTTTAACATTACCTGTGACATTATCATCACGTAAAGAAACAAGATTTCTGAAGTTCATCTGAAACTTGTAAAGAGCTGAATAATTGTAGCGAGCATCAATACCAATGGCAACATTGGTATGCTGTAAAGGATCTTCCAGTGAGAATGGAACTGTCCAGGAAACAAATGTCTTTAACAGATTGAACTCGGGAGCTTCGAATAGAACTTTGTCAATATGAAACTCTAGTACATTGTCGTGTTTTCCAAGGTTGACTGTTCGTGTCAGGTTGTGACCCAGATCATCCAATTTTTCCTTCAAGCCTTTGTCAGTAATCATCAGCATCTGATGTTCCATTTTCTCACAGCGTTCATCTCTCCTTTTAATTACCTCCTGCAAGTTCTTGATTGTCAAGAGGAAATCAGCTTCCTTCTCTTGAGATTCTTGAGTAACTTTTGCTACCTGAAATGAAATCTACATTAGTTTTTCAAGAAGTATGCAAGATGTAATTAGTTACTGAAGGGGTGTTACCATATGTGAACAGAAATAAATAGGATAATAATGACCATAAAAGAAAGAGCTAGACTAACTTCAATTTTAAAGCATGAAGCAGTTTTTTCACTGCCACATAAACATTACACTAAATGCATATGCAATACATTTATTTCATATTAATGCTTCTAACTGGGTGTAGTAGAAATAATACTAGCCAGTGATCATTAGTTAGATAAGAATGAACACCAAAAACAATGATAAATGATGGCATATGCTGACAAATGGAGAAAAAGAACTGTCCAGCCCTGGGGAAAAACATTGTATGTAGCATTAGTAAAAATTTCCCATTCAACATAGGAATTGACAACAATTTTCATTAATTTTGAAGTGATAAGTTAGAACCAACCAAAATTAGACGTGTTGTCATTTCACCATCTGATGAGCGTGAATAAATCTGGGAGTCCAAGACTGCGCTGAGTTACTGAACAGGTTGTCAGAGTGGAACATATTCCACAATCTTCTCAACAGTATTTCACTCTACAACTGCACACATCACCTATTTACCTCCTGCCTTCATTTTAGAACAATAAATTGAGCCTGTAATATGTAGGAACTCTTAACCTAACCCTGTAAAAACCCTTGTGTAAATAAAAAAAATGTATCCAGCATACATTTAGGAAGGTAAGACATGTAGAAGGTTCCCCACTTACAACCCTAATGTGTTCCTAAAGATCATTCATTCTCATATATTTAGAACTCAAGAAACCATTTTCCCATAAACACCCATGTTATAATCTAAGATGAGTTCCCAACCATATTCCATACCCAATTTCATTTATTCTTAACAATGAAATAAAAAAAGTGTACAACAGGTCCTTGAAAAATGTCGTTTCATTCAACATCATTTCATTATAACGTTAACGAAAAAATAAAAATCTAACGAATACAACTTTTTTCAATGAACTGGTTGTATCCCACCAAGGCAGGGTGACCTAAAAAGAAAAACTTTTGTTTTTCTTTTTAAATTTAGTAATTTATACAGGCGACTAAAATGCTCCAAGCCTTTTAGTCGCCTCTTACAACATGCATGGCTTACAGAGAAAGAATTCTGAATACAAATTATTGTAGAATAAAAATTTGTAAAGTATATGATAATCATACAAATACATGACAATAAATGATGCAGTACAAAAGCACTCAGCAAGCCCACCATATTTGTTATTTTTTTTTAACTGCATGGTGGTAAGAGGTGCTCCTTACAATTTTTGCTTTGCAAACATTTATTCCTTTATTTAACCTTGCTGCAATGAGCACTAAAGGGACACTGTACACCCCTGATGTCTGTGGCCAAAAAAAAAAAAAAAAGAGAAAAAGTGTGACATTAGACCTCTTTAAAACTTCTAGTTTTAAAGAGGTCTGATGATGGACAGCGAGGTGTGGTTCCATTATACATCAAGAACCTATTGACAACATTAACTGAGGACTTACTGTACAGTACTCAGAAGAGGTCCCTCTCTCTTAACATAAGAATTTAACCTGAGTTTATAAGAACATAAGAATAAAGGAGTACTGCAGCAGGCCTACTGGCCTACACTAAGCAGGGCCTTCTCAGACACAATCATTTTTTTTTTTACTTCCATGTCTGTCCAGCCTATTTCTGAAGCTATCCAAGGTGCCTGCTTCAGTCACTGTACTTGGCAGATTATTTCACTCATCTGCAATTCTCATTTCATAACCAGTACTTTCTTAAATTTGAATTTATCCAATTTGAATCTACTATTTTCAGTACTTTCTTGGTTAGATATTCTGAGGATGCTATTTATATCTATTTTATTAATATCTCCCTTGCCTTCCTCTCTCTTCTATTTCCTTTCTCCTATTCCCTTACCTCTTTTCATCTCACTTTTTCTCCTTCCCTCTCCCTCTCACAATGCAACTGACCAAACTTTGTATGGACAGCATCAATAATACAATCCAACTCTCACATGCACCTGACACAACAATTCAAGGCAAGAAACAATAGGACTGCTTCCCTTCTTTGCACCTTCTCTCACATCACATCTGATATAACACTTGACCAGCAGCAATAAGACTGCCTCCTTCCTTCTCATTTTTTTCCACACTGCATATAGAACAACATTATATAAGCAGAATGGGTAAGACTGCTCTGTCACTCCTCTCACATGCATCTGACACAATACTATAAAGTAAGCTGCAATAGGGCTGCCTCCCTCACTCAATTCTCAAATTGCATCTGACACAATACTCTTTATACATGCTCTTCACCCTAACACTGTTATGAATAGGTAAAAATGTGTAGCTGGTTGCAAATTACCCCATCATAAGTGCAAATGATTGTAAATCAGATATCTACTGTATACGATAGTTAATGCAGCCTGTAGGGAAGAGGAAGTCCACGGCTTATTAACATCCCTTTTGTTAAGGCTAATGATGTTTACACACAGTCACCCATCCAGATGCTAACTAGACTCTATGAGGCTTAGCCTGACTCACTAAGCAGTGTGCACAACCTCCATAATACCACAACTACAACTCTGGCTTACCCTAAGTTCATTCTAATGTAAAAAGAAACCAACAGGATAGACATAACCAGAAAGTTAGACAGGTAAAAAAAAAAAAAATGTCCAATTTTTTTGTTTCCATTATTTAATCAACTACAAACTAATAAGTAATTACTGTAGTACTGTACAATGTTTAACTCAATGCTGGCTAACCTGATTCTCAAGTGCTTTATAAGTCTCTGCATGTGAAGTAAGGGTTGATGTTATTTTTTCCAGCTCTAACATCTTCTCCCTGTAGAGCAACTGAAGTTCACTATGTGCTTGTCTCAGATCTTCAACAGCCTGCGTATAGATGATATTTTCCTTTAAGTAGAACAAAAATGTGTGAAAAATTATTTATTCCACAGAGTACTCATTCTACCAATTTGCCTGCAGGTTTTATCATTCAGCACAAAACAACCCCTCAATGCAGCTCTGCCTTAGCACATGTTACTGAGAAAGAGAGAGAAAGAGAGAGGTGCTTTGAAATGAGCTGATGTAAGTAACAGCTCTTAGCTTGCCAATAAAGTTAGGAATCCTTAACCTGTAAATAGCTTGTTAATAAAGCTAGGGATCTTTAACCTTGTCAAACCCTGTGTAAAAAAAAAAAAAAAGAAAAGAGAGAAAGAAAAAGAAAAAGAAAAAGAAAAAGAAAAAGAAAGAGAAGAGAGAGAGAGAGAGAGAGAGAGAGAGAGAGAGAGAGAGAGAGAGAGAGAGAGAGAGAGAGAGAGAGAGAGAGAGAGAGAGAGAGAGAGAGAGAGAGAGAGAGTATAGTCGTCTGCATATGCAGACAACTGTACACTGACATTCACTTATCCAAGAGAAGAAATGCCAGCTGCTCTAAGCTACATCAATCAACACCTCAGAGTTATATCAGCTTGGGGAAATAGAGGGCAAGTAACATTTGCACCTGCACCTGAGAAAACACAAATGATGATGATCTCTAGGCACCATGATGGTAATGCCGGTGCAGTAATAAGGATGAATGGGAGGGTGTTGGCACCTGGGGAAGAAGCTGATATCCTTGGGGTGAAATTTGACTCCAAACTGACCATGAAAAACCATGTTGTAAATCTTGCAAACAAGGCAGCCAGGAAGCTTACAGCACTTCACCGTATCTCGCATCTGCTTGACAGCAGGTGTTGCAAAATTTTTTACAAGGCACAAGTACGCTCACACCTTGAGTATGCTCCACTTTCTTGGTTCGCCTGCTCCCCTTTTCATCTGTGACTGCTTGACAGAGTAGAGAATACAGCAAGACGTTTCATCTCTCGCCTGGACCCATCCTGGATGGATCTGTCATTTCAGCAGAGCCTTCAACACAGGAGGGATGTGGGTGGCCTTACTGTTATGTACAAGGCCAATATTGTAAAAGTACCACACTTGGATCCACCTTGAGGACAGTGTGAAGCAAGCTTCTATACCACAAGAAGGAAAGAAAGTAGCAACTTCACTCTGGCTGTACCCTTCTCCAGAACATCACTTCATCTGAGATCATTTATTCCCCGGATGACTCGAGTATGGAACACATTCGTACAGAATTATGATATCAACGAGATAAAATCAGTTGATAAGATGAAAATGCTGGCCCACAGATGGCTCCAACTTCATCCTGTTCCCTACTTGTATGTCTCATAACAATAACAATGCTTTCAAATGAGCTGATGTAGGTAACAGCTCTTAGCTAGTCAATAAAGTTAGGAATCCTTAACCTGTAAATAGCTTGTCAATAAAACTAGGGATCCTTAACCTAACCTTGTCAAACCCAGTGTAAAAAAAAAAAAGATAGAGAAGAAATAGAGAAGAAAGAGAGAAAGTAAGATGTGGGAGGCCTTACTTTTATGTACAAGACCAATATTGTCAAAGAACCACACTTGGATCCACTTCGAGGACAGCATGAAGCAAGCTTCTATACCACAAGATAGGCATAAAGCAGCAACTTCACTCTGGCTGTACCCTTCTCCAGAACCTCACTTCATCTGAGATCATTTATCCCCCGGATGACTCGAGTATGGAACACATTCGTACAGCATTATGATGTCAACAAGATAAAGTCAGTTGATCAAATGAAAATGCTGGCCCACAGATGGCTCCAACTTCATCCTGTTCTGTACTTGTATGTCTCATAACAATAAAAATGCTTTCAAATGAGCTGATGTAGATAACAGCTCTTAGCTTGTCAATAAAGTTAGGAATCCTTAACCTGTAAGTAGCTTGCCAATAAAGCTAGGGATCCTTAACCTTGTCAAACCCTGTGTAAGAGAGAGAGAGAGAGAGAGAGAGAGAGAGAGAGAGAGAGAGAGAGAGAGAGAGAGAGAGAGAGAGAGAGAGAGAGAGAGAGAGAGAGAGAGAGAGAGAGAGAGAGAGAGAGACAGACTGCTTGGCAGAGTAGAGAACAGAGCAAGACGTCTCATCTCTCGCCTGGACCCATCCTGGATAGATCTGTCATTTCAGCAGAGCCTTCAACATAGGAGGGATGTGGGTGGCCTTACTGTTATGTACAAGGCCAATATTGTCAAAATACCACACTTGATCCACTTCGAGGACAGTGTGAAACAAGCTTTTATGCCACAAGATGGGCAGAAAGCAGCAACTTCACTCTGGCTGTACCCTTCTCCAGAACATCACTCCATCTGAGATCATACATACCCAGGATGACTCGAGTATGGAACACATTCGTACAGCATAATGATGTCAACGAGATAAAGTCAGTTGATCAAATGAAAATGCTGGCCCACAGATGGCTCCAACTTCATCCTGTTCCCTACTTGTATGTCTCATAACAATAAAAATACTTTCAAATGAGCTGATGTAGGTAACAGCTCTTAGCTTGCCAATAAAGTTAGGAATCCTTAACCTGTAATATAGCTGTCAATAAAGATAGGGATCCTTAACCTTGTCAAACCCTGTGTAAAAAAAAAAAAAAAAAAAAAAAAAATGTAGTCCCTGTTCACAAAAAGAAGAGCAGAGCAGAAATCAGCAACTACAGACCAGTGTCACTCCTGTCAATCACTGTTAAGATCCTTGAGACAATAATCTCAAGACAAATGACAGATAAAGTCAGTTGATCAAATGAAAATGCTGGCCCACAGATGGCTCCAACTTCATCCTGTTTCCTACTTGTATGTCTCATAACAATAAAAATGCTTTCAAATGAGCTGATGTAGGTAACAGCTCTTAGCTTGCCAATAAAGTTAGGAATCCTTAACCTGTAAATAGCTGTCAATAAAGCTAGGGATCCTTAACCTTGTCAAACCCTGTGTAAAAAAAAAAAAAAAAAAAAAAAAAAAACTTGCCAGTGTTAGTGGCAAATCAGATTTTTAAAATGTATATTTTACCTAACAAAGAATTATGATTCATGAGGAATTATATTAGTCCTTTTATATTGTTTTCCCTAATTCTAACTTTAAAGAATTACCTTTAACCCTTTGAGGGTCGACAGGCCCTCTCCGAAACTCGTTCTCAGGGTCGGCCAAATTTAAAAAAAAAAAAAAATTATTTTCTCTTATGAAAAGATAGAGAATCTTTTCCCGATCATAAAGACACCAAAAGTTTGAAATTTGATAGAAAACTTACGGAATTATGCTCTTGCAAAGTTAGCGGTCTCGGCGATGTTTACGCATCGGCGATTTTGCCCACTTTGAGCCCCATTTTCGGCCAATTTCACTGTACTAGTCGACAAAAAACATGAATATTTCGCTAGAACTCCATTTTTTCTATCGAATGGATGCAAGAAACCACTCATTTATGAAATTCAACTATCCAGTACATATCCAGTACAGTGGTCAGAATTTAGCAATTTTGCAAATTTCACACAAATTTCAAAAGATGCCAATTTCGGAATAGGGTCCAGAATAAACAAGAAAGACATTCCTGGCACTAAAATGACATTTCCTCTAGTCATTAGTCATGTCTCAAGTCCCCTCTTATATTCTTTTGCTTTCCACTTTGAATTTTTATTTTCACAAAAAATATAAGATTTACTGTTATGCAGACTACTGCATTAGTGTAAAAAATGGTATAAATATTATTGGTGCACTTGTGAAAGAATATTAGACTCACCAGTTGACGTGTATTGCACGCTTGGCACGATTTGTTTACTATTGAAGTTTGGTAAAAATCGAACATTTCTGCTACTTTGAGCTCAATTTCAAGGCACCTTTCTTTGTAAAACCAGTCAAAATCATCTCTATTTCTGTAATATGTCTTCCATTCTATAAAATGAGACCAAGAAAACTAGAATACAACAATAAATACCATACGAAAATACACTGCAAAGTCGCTGATTTATTAAAAAAAAATGGTCCAAGTTTTTTTTTTCTCATTATGCACTGTGTGCTGCAGGATTTTTTTTAGACTGTGCACACTGACCACATAGACCCATTCTTTCATATGAAGGCCTACCAGCTTTCTCCCACTAGATTTGAGGCCGCTAGAATTTATGAGTACTAGTACGTCAAAAACCCCTACGCGTAAAACGTACTAGTACGACGAAAACCCTCAAAGGGTTAAAGTACTACCTACTATCATATTCCCAAGCTCCATTATTTGATCATCACTTTATTTGTTCACCACTAATTATTTTAGTCCCTTTTATATTGTCTCCTTTATTTTAGCTTTAAAAAACTACCTTAGCTCATTATTTTTACATTTGTTAAATAATTCAGGTGCTATTTTTTATACTTAATTCTAACTATAGATTCACTACAAATCTTATGATTACAAACATTGATCCTGATACCAACCTCTTATTTAATGACTTAAATGAATCAAACAGTTACTGTAATTACTACACAGCAGAACAATCAAAGGCACTCCTCAGAGCCACCAACAACATAACTGTCTTTAACTACAATATCAGATCTTTAAGCAAGCATTACAATGACCTCATAGCATTAATAAATTCCTTGCATGCCAATATGTCCATCATTACACTAATTGAAACCTGGCTAAAGCCTGATACTACTAATGTCTATGCCATTCCTGGTTACACAGCCATACACAACTGTAGGCCAGACCAACAAGGGGGTGGCACAGCTATATACTACTCAGACCAACTAGAATGTATCACTAATACTTGCACAAGGGATGAGCATGGGGAATATATAATAGCTAAATTCAAATCCAAATACCTATAAAAACCTCTCACATTGATAAACATCTACAGAGTTCCACAGTCAAACATTACCCAATTTAGTCAAAACCTAGGAAGTATAACTGATGCACGCATGAACAAAGATCACTTACTACTCTCAGGTGACTTCAATATAAATCTCCTGCAAGACCAGGACCCACACATTACT